GCACGGTGGGTGCACCGACAAAGTTATCCCGGGAGGCGCTAGGGGAAACAAGGTCTCCCCCAAACTCTTCTGGTCCCCCCTAGTGAGTTTATAGATGGTCACAAGGGTCAGAAGGGACCTTGTAGATCTTCAGGTCTGACCCCCTGCCTGGACAGGAGGGAACCTGGGCTCAAGTGACCCCAGCCAGGTAGGCATCGAGCCACTTCTTAAAGACCCCCAGGGTAGGAGCCAGCATCACTTCCCTTGGAAGCTGGTTCCAGATCCTAGCCACCCTGATTGTGAAGCAGTTCCTACGGATGTCTAATCTGAACCTACTGCTAATGCTTTCCTTTCTCTGAGCCAAAATGATGGGTGAGGACCTTCCCAGTACATTCCTCAACGGCCCATAGCACTTCCTCCCTCTCCCAAAGGCCAAGCAGCGAGGGGTTTCATGGGTCAAGAATCCTGCCTCGACCTCCGGAGCTCCCTGCCAGCCCCACTTCTCTCCAACTATTACTCTATGATTCACATGGGATCATTACCAGAGCGCAGAGGGTTTAAATTGGGTTTAGCTAGCGACAAGGAAGTAGAGAACAAAGGTGACCCAGATAAAGACGAAGTGCAGAGGCAACAACGGGAGTCTTGACGAGGTCGTCAAAGGGAAATTAGGAGAGAGACTCAGTGGGATGGATAGCGCTTGTGGCTGGACCGCTGCCATGAACGGGTGTCGCTTGTTCAGGTGGGCCCGGCAGGGAGACAGAGACGAGGGGACGCTGCTCTACGCACGAGAGAGACGTGCAGTTGTTCTGAGGCTCAGCATGACGGAGGACCCAGCCCTGGTGAAAGCCTCTGGGTCAAGGTCGGAGGGGAGATGAGCAAGGGTAATGCCATGGTGGGCTCCTTCAATCAACCACACGAGCCAGGTGGAAGTATTGAAATTGCAGGGCTCTGTCCCGGGCCCGCTGCTGGTTAATAGCTTCATTACTGATCCGGATGATGGGACTCAATGCACACTTAGCAAATTTGCAGATGACACCAAGGTGCGCGGAGCTGCAGACCGACCGGAGGGCAGGGCTGGGATCCAGAATGACCAGGGGAGACTGCAGCAACGGTCCAACATTAATCGAATGAAATTCAAAAAGGACAAATGCAAAGACCTGCCCTGAGGTTAGAACAACCCACTGCACAAATATACCCGGGGCCTCGGCTGTGGTATTGCAAAAGGGACCGGGGGGATATGATGGGCGGCAAGCTGCGTACGAGCCAGCGGTGTGCTCGGGCTGCAAAACAAGTCGATGCCTGGCAGGGACCACCTCTTGCCCAGGGCAGCAGCTCTGCAGCGAGGCTTATCCAGGCCAGTCCATGCAGGACACTGCCTGCCTCTGGGATTTATAAGAGGGACGAGGTGATGAAGGCACAGGTGCAAATAAGCCGATGCACCTGCTCCACATCCCAGCATCAGAGCAGACAGGTGAGAAGCCGTTTAACTATCGGCTGAGCTTCCCGCCAGCCTGGCAGAGGGGGCCGTGGAGCGGCCGCGGCGGAGGAATTGTTGCCCCTCCACAACTTCCAGGGAGAAAAAGCTGGAGCAGGCGCAGAGACGGGCAGCGAGGATGAGGAGCGCTGCGAAGGGGCTTCCCTCGGAGAGACTCACGAGGCCAGGCCTGGGCAGGGCAGAGACGCTGGAGGGGGCAGGAGAAGGGGTCACAACACACGAAATGGCCAAGAGAAAGTCCTGGGGATCGATCATTGCCCGTCTCTACCCGGAAAAGGATGAGGGGTCACTGCATGGACCAAGCAGGTGTCGGTTGACCACAAATACCAAGCTGCTCTTTTCTCCCCACGTGGCATTAAAGTGGAGGCTCGTGGCCACCAGCTGTGGCGGGAGCGGAGAGCTCAGCCAGATCCACCCCGGACTGGACACGGGCTTGGAGGAAAGGGGCACGGGGAGCGTGGGACAGAGGGAGAGTTGAGAAGGGCATCTCCTCGGGGCAGGACCTATGAAGAAACCTGAAGTTTGCAAACTGAGCCTTTGTCCTTGGCTGTGGGAAGGGAAAACCCAGCCCCCCACTTCCTCCTGGCCCATTCCCAAGCCAGCTCACTCTGGCAGCCTCTGTCTTGGGCAGCGCTCACAAGGGTGGCCCTTGATAAGCCTAAGCCTGCGTGGCTCTCATCCGGCCCCATCTCCTGAGCCAGGCCCACCTGACGCTCTTGCTCCAGGCAGATTTGCAAACACAAGCTGAGCCAAGCAGCGGCTGCAAAACAGGCACTAGTCAGACATGCAGACACCACGGCTCAGACACCCTGAAACAGGGTTGGTTTTTATTTGTAAAAAAACCCAAAAATCTGTGTCTTTCTATATATATAAAGACTCCGGGGGCTCTGCTCGTACACCAAGGAGGGGCGGGAGAAGGTAAAGCGGCTCTGCAAAGCAGTGACAAGGCTTGGACAGCTGTCAAGCGAGACGGCGCTGTACGGACGCCTGACTAAACACCAGGGGAGCCCGCCGGCCCGCTTCCATCAGTTCGTGTCGTGCATCAGGAGCGCCCTGTGGAAGTCCAGGAGGCTCCTGATGTGCCAGCACATGGACCTCGAGGTGGTAGACTGTTAAAATGGCCTTGAGTGAACGCCAGTCCTACTACCAGAAATCAGTAGTAGGGGACAGGGAGGTCACAGCCAAATCCACCTGGCACAGGCACACTTGGAGCAGGGTCGTTCGAGACCCCCCAAAGCAGGGGTCAGGCCACCTGCAACTCCGGCCCTGGGAACATACTCACGGGAAGGCCTCTAGCCCCAGCTTAGGACTGAAGGGGTTGCTTTGTGCAAGAAAGAGAGCAGGTGTCCATGACTTCTCTAGAAAATCACTTGACAGGAAAGCTGAAGAGAAGTTTAACCGACCCGAAGAGCAAGAAACACACTCACCCCTGGGACCCCAGCATCTCCCGACTCTTGTGGGTCGGTCCGTTCCTCAGGTCCTTCGATGCCCTCGATCTGCCCCAGGTCCCTAAGCACAGGGATGCAACCATTAATGGCATGCATCTGTCTATGCTTTGATTAGGTAAATGTTAATGCAAAAGGTTGGTCACAAAGCACCCCCCACAGCTAAGGGAAGAATTTATAGGAAACAGGTGGGCAATCCCCATCCCTCGTGCCCCCGTAGGACGCCAGGCTCAGCAAAGCTGCGTGCAAGCCGGGAAAGGAAGAGTTACAGCACGCGCCGCGGAGCTGGCAGCAGGCAGCACGTGGACAGTCAATGCATTATTTGGAGTGGTCAAACCGGCTAGGGTGGCGCGGTCCCAGACAGCGAGCAGAGTCCCCGTGGGAACCGAGCACGTCAGCACGTCCCTGGAAATGTCTCCTGTCAGGTGCTGCCACTTCGGGGTCCCCCCCCCAGCCAACCCCCACCTCGCCCCTGCCTGCTGCAGGCATGTGCATGGACCGCAGGGCACCGGCTTCCCCGCCCGCAACACACTGCCCTCGGGAATCAGATCTGGCCGACGTCCGTTCCTCAGAAAGGCCTCCTGGCCCCGAGCCCGTGGCCTCCGTGTTTTGCCCACAGCCCAGGGGGGGTCTGTAGTCTGGACTGGAGGGCACTTGCATCCTGCTCCTTGCTGTGCCGTAAACCCCTGACAGAGCCCTGGGGGCTGCAAACCCCAACGTGAGAGCAACGCTCACGCTGCGTCTCCCTGGCTGGACCCAGGCACTGGCGCACCTGTCCCCTCTCGGGGAGAGCTTCCCCGGGCCGCCCAGACGTGCAGGGCACGGGCACTTCCGCTTGCATCCCCAGTGGGGATGGGTTCCCAGCGTGGAGCACACAAACCCAAAGGAAAAATAGTGGGAAGGGGGGAGCAAAGCCTCTCCATCATGGGCGGACATGGGTGGAGGACCGTGGCTCTCCCCAGGCCAGGCTAGGGTGCGGGAGGCTGGCTGGGGCAGGCAGATTCCTGCCTCTGTTTGCTTTGGGAGCCGGTGACGGGCTTGGACGTCCGGTTCCTGTGCCAGGGCAGTGGGGCTACGGGCTCCTCCGGCGCACGGGGCCATAAATCCCCAGCAGCCGATGTCATAGTTTCATAGTTGGTCGGGTCAGAAGGGAGCTGAGCAGATCATCTAGTCTGACCCCCTGCCGTGGCAGGAAAGGATGCCGGGGTGCAAAGGAAC